GGCTCACTGCAGCCTTTGCCTCCCAGGTTTGAGTGATTCTCGTGCCTCAGCCTCCTGAGCAGCTGGGATTACAGGGATGTGCTACCATGTCTGGCTAATTTTTGTATTTTTAGTAGAGTTGGCCATGTTGGCCAGGCTGGTCTCCAACTCCTGACCTCAGGTGATCTGCCTGCCTCAGTCTCCCAAAGTGCTGAGATTATAGGCATGAGCCACTGTGACCAACCCAAGTAACTTTTCTTTTCTTTTTTTTTTTAAACTATGAGTATATGGTGAAGGATATCATGACCACTAGGATAGTTTGGTGTCACTGCCTCAATTCATGCTAAGATGCTATCAGTTTTACCCTTGCATTTCTACCATTAATGCAGAAAAAGGTGAATAATGTCTTAGCATTATGAAAATAGTTTGAATCTCAGGCCTTGTGGGCTCCCTGAAGAAGGAGTTCACATCCCCAGAGGCTAACATCATCATTTACAAATTGCTGACATAAGCTAGCATTCCAGCCTTGTGGATATCAGAGGAAAATCTGCCATCATCCTAGAAGGAAAAGACATGGTGGGAAGTCAGCACCTGAACTTTGATTTACGCCGTCCTCAGCATCTGGGATCCTTTGTGCTAACTGCGTAAACATGCTCACTGCTGTCTTGCGGAGGAGCTGACTTTACAAAGGCAGAGGGCTGGGTGTTGAGTTTCTGAAGCCATGCCCTAGTGGTTATTAGAAAACTCTTTGGCATTTTAAACTCCCATCTCCTTCTTGACACGGAAATTTAATATTATGGAATTGACACCAAATGATGATGTCAGGCTTTTGGGTTGGGACACCATCTGTTGGCAGCCTGGCTTTGGAGCTTCTCCCGGTTGAATTTTACTGCCTCAAAGCAGATGCGAGGGAGTAGTGCATTTGTTAAGGAGAAGATGCGTGAATCTTCTAGTGGACTTGCTTTCAGCAAACTTGTTTTTCAGGTCAGAATACTATATTCAGTGTTTAAGCTAAACATGAAGTGCTTTGAGTAAGACAGCATTCATATTTTGACATTTGCAAATCACTGGGCCTGATAGTACCCTTCCTCTCTTTTGTTGTCAGCAATGGAAGAGTTAATAGTTGAACTTCGTCTCTTTCTTGAACTCCTGGACCATGAATATCTAACCTCAACTGTCAGGGAGAAAAAGGCAGTGATAACCAACATTCTGCTGAGGATACAGTCATCCAAAGGTGAGTCTCTTTCTGATGCCTGCTTTTTCTTCTTACAATGTCTTGGCTTCTAAATGGTCATTAATTTGACCATCTTTCTAAAATATATTTATTTGTTCTTTAACTTACATTATTGTTCATCAGGGTTTCATTGAGGGTTTATACTTGTGCCAAGTTCTGTGTTGGCCTGCAGGTATAGAAACATAAAGCTTTGAAGGAGCTAATGGAATCGTGTGTTGGGAGTCCCCAAGGCAACCCCCACCTTTGGAAATCACCTGAAGGACTCCCGGGTCCCGGCATCAGGTTGTTCTTCTTATGTGCCGGACGCCCTGCAGCCGAAGTGAGGATACACAGCCCGACTGGCAGACGGGAAGGGAGAAGATGCGGGCGGAGCATGGAGGAAGCCGTGCCCAGCTTCTATGTGCTCTGTCTCTCCCATAAGGGTCACATAGAGCACACTTTCCTCAGCAATAGAAACGCAGCCAGCTCTGTGCGACGTTTCTGTTCAGGCTCACCGGAGACTCAGTGCCCAAGGTTTTTACTTAGGTCTTGTCCTGTAGGCACCCTCTGTCTGGCACATACCAGCATTCCAGGAAAAGCAGGCTTTCAGCTTTTGTGTAAACCATGTTTACACAAACAGTACAGGCACAGTGAACCAACTTTGTCCATTAGGGAATGATGGGAACACTTCTGAAATCCAGGTTCCCAGAGGGCAGCCGGGGGCCAGCCTTGAAAGCAGGCACCTCTCGAGAGAGTAGCCTTGGGCCCATTATGTTAACTCTTTCCTGCACAGTAAGACAAAAGAAACAGGAACTAGGAAAGCCTGCTAAGTACTGCTGTGGAGAGCATCAGAGCCTTATGAGAGCACCTAAGAAAAGAGTCCACACCAGTTGAGTGAGAGACCAGAGTGTTGGAGGGCCCAAGGGGCGATTCCTGGAGGATGTGATGTGAAAATCTTGAAGACTCTGTAGAGGTAGCTGGATGAGAGGGAGGGACCTTTCTTTTAAACGTCTTTTTTGAGATGTGATTCTCAGGTCATATCTTCACCATTTAAAGTGTACAATTCACTTATACTTTGACATGCATTCTTTTAGTGTATGAGACCATGTATGACATGATTAGATTTGCATTCTGGAAAGCTCACCTGGTCCGTCTGGAAGATGGCCTGAAGGATTTGGTAGCAGTTTAAAATGGGTGGCTTAGGAAAACCTGGGTGAGTGATGGGGCCTGTCTCTTAGATAAGAAAGCAGGATGGGGACCCTATTTTGGGGCAGTATGAAATAGTAACTTCTTTGTTTTGAGACAGAGTCTCACTGTGTTGCATAGGCTGGAGTGCAGTGGTGTGCTCACTGCTCACTGCAGCATTGACCTCGCAGGCTCAGGTGATCCTCCCACCTCAGCCTCCCTAGTAGCTGGGACTACATGTGTGCACACCACAACACTCAGCTAGGTTTTTGTATTTTTGTGGAGACAGGGTTTTGCCATGTTGTCCAAGCTGGTCTCAAACTCCTGGGCTCAAGTAGTCTGCCTGCCTCGGCCTCCAAAAGGCATGAGCCACTGTGCCTGGCCTGAAACGTTCACTTTTGAAAAAATTTTGTTACTTTCTGAAACTCTTTCATCGGTCAGCCTTTGCCCCTGGTCACAGTCCAGACTCCTTTGGTCATTCTACAAGGCCCTTTATCGTATGTGGTGATGGGTATGAATTCCAACCTTAAACTGGCTTTTTATTCTGGCCCTGCCTGTTACCAAATGTGCGACCTTGCATGGGTTACTTACTCTTTTTTTTTTGAGATGGAGTCTCACTCTGTCACCAGGCTGGAGTGCAGTGGCATGATCTCAGCTCACTGCAGCCTCTGCCTCCTGGGTTCAAGGGATTCTCCTGCCTCAGCCCCTCCTGGGTAGCTGGGGCTACAGGCGCGTCCCATCATACCCAGCTAATTTCTAATTTTTGGTAGATACGGGGTTTCACCATGTTGGCCAGGCTGGTCGAACTCCTGACCTCAGGTGATCTGCCCACCTTGGCATCCTGAAGTGCTGGGATTACAGGCGTGAGCCACTACGCCCGGCCTACTAACTCTTTTTATACTTCAGCTTCCTCTTTGTATAAAAAGGGCTAACGGTAGTATTGACCTCACGGGATGTCGTGAGGATTGAATGAGATGGTATGAAATATTTCAAAACAGTGCTTGACGCATGGTAAACATGTCAGCTCTTGATGACTGTTTGCTCTCCCCTGCTTTAAAGTGTCCTCTCTTCCTCCGCCCACTGAGCTCCAGCACTGGTCTCTCCATGCTTCCTTCTGGATGTATCTCCTGACATTTTTCAATTCATGAATTCTTTCTTCCGCTCTTTAATTTAAACCTATCTATTGATTTTGTGTATGTGTGTGTGTCATGCTTCCTTCTTCTTTCGTACTTTTTTTGTTTGTTTGTAGTTCTCTATCCAAAGTTCTTGTCTCTGTTGCAGCTCCTGCAGGTCGGCAGTGGGTCTTTTCATATTTCAATTCCTGGCCTCTAGCATAGTACTGGACCCATTATAGATGATCATTCTTAAGTCAGTATTTTTACAGGCCTTTTCAAGTGAGTGAGTGGCATATAAATAGCACTGTGCACACATTGAAACTTGTTCTTCCTTTCCTGCCTGCACTGCTATAGTGTTCATCCCCTTTTCTAGTAATTCGCTGTGTATGTATTTGTCTTTTCAACTTGAATACGTATATGTATATGTCTTGTGTATGTATTTGTCTTTTCAACACACCCGAGAGGTGTCAGCTTGTATCAGTCATGTCATCTATAAAGTATGTCTATTATAGTATCTGACTTTAAGAAGACACTTAATAAAAATTTATTGATTCCCAGGAAGGTGTCTATCCTGTTACTACATGGATAAGTCCTGCCCTGAGTGGAAGTTGAGGGGGAGCAGCTTTCCCTTAGAGATGCAGCACGGCACTGAGGACCACGTGGCTCTGGGGCCTGCACCATCATTTCTAGCTCTTAGTGCTTTGATTCATTTCTTAGCCTGCCTTTCTTTCTTTCTTCCTCCTCTCCCCTCCCCACCCCTCCCCTCCCCTCTGCTCCCTTTCCATCTTTTCTTTTTTCTTTTCTTTCTTTTCCTTTCCTTTCCTTTCTTTTCCTTTCCTTTCCTTTCCTTTCCTTTCCTTTCCTTTCCTTTCCTTTCCTTT